CGTCCGTGGAATTCGAACTCTAGACCTGCCACTTGGAGAGGGTGACGACTAGACCACTACACTAAGTCGCCACACCTCCCAACCCAAGGTATTATTTTATTACTTGTACTACTCTAATACTATATTTGTTTAAAAAATTTTAAATATTACATATAAAGGTAGAGTGAAACAATTTACATTTCAATAGTAATTATATTACTAATTTTTTTTACAATAACATTCAATTAAAATTAGGTGATAATCATATATTATTTATATTGTATAATCTAGACAAATTTTGTGCAACATAGACAAATTAAATAGTAAAAACATATAAAAATCGATTTTACTATATTTGTCAAGTAATTACTACTAAAAATAAAAATCGTTCATTCTATCCATGACCTGAAAATTGAAAAATTCTTCAGCTAAGTCATGGATTATCAATTAACATAATTATTTTTAGAATTATTATTGATACATATTTATCATTACTGTTTTGCTGTGATTTAAATAATTTATTTGCTTACTAAAATTTGTTAGATATTAAAGAAGTTTTGTATCAATTTGAATATCTAAATTATTATTTTTTGTACAACATACTGTAAAATCTATCATGTAATAAAATCTTACCCATGTTTATGAAGTTCATACTCATAAAAAAAAATTATTTTGTTAGCAAAACAAAAATTTAACATTGTTACAATGTAAAGAAACTCTTTATAAAATAGTTTTCTTTTATGGAATTAAACAGTAATAAATATTGAGTGAGGAATTAAGAGATATTTTTCAAATAGTAAATTTCGATCAATTAATATATAAAATCTCGATATCACCTGCAAATTATACCGATGTTGTACACCCTAATAAATTAACCCGTTTTAATATTTTTAATTGGTAAGTGCAAATATCATATATTTAAACGGAACATTAACTTTGAAAAATAAGATAAATGCAATTACTATTTTGAATTTGTAATTATTGATCATTTGCATAATTAAATGCCGCAATATATCATATATTTGAAGCACTAGGAAGTGCAACGGCGTGTATGATATTAAGTGTGTTAAATATATAGTTAGTATGTTTGAGTGTTTGGTAGAAAGAACTGGCTTTAAAGAAGTGTGTATAAAAGGTGCAAGGGCTATTAAAGGTATGTAAAATAAATTTATTAGCTGCTTGTTTGATAATATTATTGAGATTGTTGAAGCTAACGATGCTAGATATTAAACTTTATTGCGTAATTTTTTACTGAGAAATTGTAGCATACATCAGTGCGATTTATGTATAAGCTGAGACGGGATATGCTCCCAGAAATAGCAAACATAATTGCGCCGGGTATCGCCGTCATCAGCTGAAATTGCAATGCGTAGCATGTGAACAAATACGGTTCTTTGATTGGTTATATTTTATAGTCATAAACTTGGTTTAATATCCCAATCTCGTGTTTATTTAGAACTTAATCTTGTGTAGCATTGATTATAATTATGAATAGAATAACGTTAGATATAATTAAAAACCATAGTCGTCGCTTTCAATCACTTTTAGGAATATCGCGAATTAATAGTCAGGGTAGATTATTTCTTGTTTAAGTTATAAGCACTTTTTTTAACATACTAAAGTCTATTATTGTCTATTTCCCTGTACTAAATTGTAGTTCCTTTCAAGAACTTTTCTAGATCATGCAGTCAAAAAGGAATCAGCAATACAAAGAATTTTTATCACCAAAATAATGGCGTTATTCCAATTATTCGCAATTATACAAATCATTTACCTTTCACTCCAGTTATTTCTAATTTAACCTTCATAAATTTTTGTCCCTCTCTGATTAGATTTAGAAGTTTATCCAATAAATCTAGATTTATGCCGAATTTACCAACACCTAATAATCGCACGAAAAATTTAATAGCTTTAGGCGGAGCTATTTTAACCTTTTTGACCTTTCAACCGACCATGCATTTCGTGATAAGTGGTGCTCTTGCTTTTGGTGCTTATAAAATTGTAAAAGGAACTTTAAATTATATTTGGCCACCCGTACGATCTATACGACCCATACATCCATTATATCCACAAATGAGCCAAATAGAAAATACATTTTGGAAGTATATGTCTTCATCCATTCGTGGAATTACTAGTGAAATTAAACGTTCCCGAGAAGTAATTGATGAAATATATTCATCTTCAATTAGTAAAATTCAAGTAGCTTACAATAACGAAAGTGAAATTCGATTTTTATTTGGTGATTATGATTCTTCAACGATTAGATTTTCTGATCCTCAAACTGTTATTTCAAAAACTTTGGCAGTTTCAGATTCTCGTGGAAATTATCAAAAAATGCATGGTGTCACAATTGAATATATTGCAACTGGAATGAATGGTGAAAGTGCATTTGTCAAAGCTACTGGATATTTGAATAATAACGATGAAGTGATGTTTAAGGAAATTAGTTTACTTTGGCCACGTACTGGACGAGAAATTAACATTCCTTTACAAGATACAAATAATTTCGAAGATAATAAGTATGGGCCAAATGTAATGGAAGCTGAATATCGTGATATTAAAGAGTAATACTGTATTAAGAGCTCAATAATATTGTAATAAATTCAAGATTAAATGGATCAATTGAATGCTTTTTATTATTATTATTTAGAATAATAAATCGTTTAATGAATATATCAATCTGATTATCTATTATTGGACAGCATTCTTTTCTAACATATATATATAAGATATAAATCGTTAATATTGATATTTAAATTTACAATTATTATTAATTATAAAATCAATATGATAATATATCTACCTCTATATGAATAGTTTAGTTCGAACAACAATTATAAAACATAAAGATCATCTTCATCATCTTCATCATCTTCATCTTCCAAAGGTGCATAATGTTGACATGTTGGCTTATGTTTATGATTTCCATCTTTTCGAATTTGGTTATAATCCGACAAACACCTGAAAAATTAGGCAGAAAAAAAAATCAAAAAAAATTCTCTAAAAAAAAGATAAATAAAAGATCCATATAAATAATCACTTACAACCAACAAAATTCGTATCCACATATGCAAGTCATGTGTTCACACCCTTCTTTCTTCTCTATAGGCCATTCACACTTAGGACATTGTTTAGTATGTTGATCATGATAAGCTTTATTGGCTGCACCGTGAGGATCGTTCTCAAGGGTTTCTTTAAATTGTTCGCAAGTGATTCCTTCGTGCCAGGGTACATCACACGTAAAACATGTTTTAAACGTACATGCATGGCAAGTCATGATTGGCTCTTCATCTAAAAAAAAAATAACAGAATATGTGAATATTTAAAAATTTAATGTGTTTAACATTTATCGTTTATTTTTATAATATCACCTCCTGAACTATGCTCCTGACCCCATCCACAACCTTGACGCTTACACCAACGGAAATCTTCAAGTTGCCGAATCACATGACGTAACAAGAATAGACCATAACTTTTTAAAAAAAATAAATAAATTTAGAAACGATTTATATGAATTACTGATCTAAAATTCTTATACATTACCGCTCAAATAAATCTTTTGGGACTAATCGTTTAATATCATTATAGCTAAGAGTTGCTTCACAATTAGTAGTGGGACACTGAATAATAGTAATGTTTCCTTTGAGAATTTCAGACCGGATATGTTTCGTAACACAATCACGACAAATGTTAAGTTCATGAGTGCAAGAATCAGTGACGAGTGGATACTCTGAAGTAGAATTGTAGCAAACGCTACATATAGAAGTTTTATCGGTAGCACCCATTCCTGTAAAGGTTATAACGATAATTGTTGTCCGAATTAATTGAATTTTCCTTTTATGTGTTAAGTTTTGATAATCTATTACGTCATTAAATTAGTGATTTAACCCCGTAAATTTTTTATGGTGCCGGGCCGAATTATGTTGATCATGGGTAGGGTTGAAAATTACATAAATTACAAATAAATTACACTGTAACTTACAAAATTGTAATGTACAGGGGGGTATTATATTATTGTGGACACTTTTTAAAAATTTGTATAAAGCCAAACAAATAGTATATTAAGCTAAA